AAATCCCAGAGGCACAGGCAGTCAAAGCCAAAATTCACAATTGGGATTATATCAAATTGAGAGTTTTCTGTACTGTAAAAGAAATAGTCAGGAAAGTAAAGAGGCAACTGACAGAATGGGAAAAAATATTTGTAAACTATGCAACACATAAAGAATTAATAACCAGAATCTACAAAGAGATCAAGAAACTTGACAACATCAAAACAATCTGCTTAAGAGATGGACCAAGGACCTCAATAGACATTTTTCAAAAGAGGAAATCCAAATGGTCAACAGACACATGAAAAAATGTTCAAGATAACTAGCAATCAGGGAAATGTAAATTAAAACCATAATGAGGTTTCATCTCATCCTGATTAGAATGGCTCACATACAGAAATCTACCAATGGCCGGCACCGTGGCTCAATAGGCTAATCCTCCACCTTGCGGCGCCCGCACACCAGGTTCTAGTCCCAGTTGGGGCACCGGATTCTGTCCCAGTTGCCCCTCGTCCAGGCCAGCTCTCTGCCATGGCCCAGGAGTGCAGAGGAGGATGGCCCAAGTGCTTGGGCCCTGCATCCGCATTGGAAACCAGGAGAAGCACCTGGCTCCTGGCTTTGGATCAACGCGATACGCTGGCCGCAGCACACCGGCCACGGCAGCCATTGGAGGGTGAACCAACGGCAAAAAAAAAGGAAGACGTATCTCTCTCTCTCTCTCTCTCACTGTCCACTCTGCCTGTCAAAAAAAGAAAGAAAGAAATCTACCAACAACAGATGCTGGCGAGGATGTGGGGAAAAAGGGACACTAACCCACTGTTGGTGGGAATGCAAACTGGTAAAGCCACTATGGAAGTCAGTCTGGAGATCACTCAGAAACCTGAATATAACCCTACCATACAACCCAGCCATACCACTCCTTGAATTTACCCAAAGGAAATCAAATTGGCAAACAAAAAACCAGTCTGCACATTAATATTTATTGCAGCTCAATTCACAATAGCTAAGACCTGGAATCAACCCAAATGCCCATCAACAGTAGACTAGATAAAGAAATTATGGGACAGGTACTCTATAGAATACAGCAGTCAAAAACAATGAAATCCGGTCATTTGCAACAAAATGAAGGAATCTGGAAAACATCATGCTGAGTGAAATAAGCCAGGCCCAAGGGACAAATACCATATATTCTCCCTGATCAGTGACAACTAACTGAGCACCAAAAAGGAAACCGGTTGAAGGAACTGGACACTATAAGAAACAGTGACTTGATCAGCCTTTGTCCTGAATGTTGATGAACAAGTTAATACTTTATCCATTTTAGTTTTTTTTGTTGTTGTTGTTCTATTTAATGCTAGTGGTTGAACTCTGTAATTAACACACAATTATTCTTAGGTGTTTAAATTTAACTGAAAACTGATCCCTGTTAAATATGAGAGTGGGAATAAGAGAGGGAAGAGATGTACAATTTGGGGCATGCTCAATCCAACTTGCCCCAAATGGTGGAGTTAGAAACGTGCCAGGGGATTCCAATACAATCCCATCAAGGTGGTATGTACCAATGCCATCTCACTAGTCCCAGTGATCAATTTCAGTTCACAATTTATCAGAATGATAGGTCTAAGAGTCAAAGGGATCACATAAACAAGACTAGTGTCCGCAAATACTAACTGATAGAATTAAGAAGGAGTAAATGATCCAACATGGGAAGCTGGATACACAGCAGACTCTTAGAATTGCAGATGTCCTAAACAGCATTCTGGCCTCAGAATCAGCCCTTAAGGCATTCAGATCTGGCTGAAGAGCCCTTGAGAGTATTTTGGGAATGGAAAGCCAAGACACTGTGGCAAAAAAACAAACAAACAAACAAAAAGCCACCTAAATGAATGATCTCTGCAAGTGAGATCCCAGTGGATAAAATGGGCCATCAAAGAAAGAGGTACCTTTCTCTGAAGGGAGGAGAGAATTCCACTTTGACTATGACCTTGTCTAAACAAGATAAGAGTTGGCGAACTCAAAAGGCTTCCATAGCCTTGGCAACTCATGACAAGAGCCTAGGGAGATTACTGACACCATAAACAAGAGTGTCAATTTGTTAAGTCAACAACAGGAGTCACTGTGCACTTACTCCTCATGTAGGATCTCTGTCCTTAATGTGTTGTCCAATGTGAATTAATGCTATAACTAGTACTCAAACAGTACTTTACACTTTATGTTTCTGTGTGGGTGCAAACTGTTGAAATTTTTTCTTAATATATACTAAATTGATCTTCTGTGTATAAAGATAATTGAAAAAAGATAATTGAAAATGAATCTTTATGTGAATGGAATGGGAGAGAGAGCAGGAGATGGGAGGGTTGTGGGTGGGAAGGAAGTTATGGTGGGGAAAAGCCACTGTAATCCTAAAGCTGTACTTTGGAAATTTATATTTGTTAAATAAAAGTTAAGAAAATAAATTTGGTGAAATTCAGCAGGGAGATCATCCTGTCCTGGGTTGTTCTTTCTTAGGAGACTGTTCTTTATTACTGATTCAAGCTCTATCTTGGTTTTTGTTCTGTCTAGTTTTTCAATGTCTTCATGACTCAATTCTGGCAGATTGTGTCTGTCCAGGAACCTATCCACTTCATCTAGATTTTCCAATTTGTAGTCAGATAGTTGTTTGTATTAATACCTGATTTTTCTTTTTATTTCTGTGGTGTCCATTGTAACATTTCCTTTTTATCTCTCATTTTATTAATTTGGGTCTTTTCCTCACTCCCCTTTTTTTGTTAGCTGTGCCAATGGTGGATCAATTTTGTTTCTCTTTTCCAGAAAAGCTTTTCATTTTACTGATCTTTTGTATCCTTTGTTTTGTCTCAAATTTCTTTATTTCTTCTCTAATTTTAATTATTTCTTTCCTCCAAATACTTTTGGGTGTGGTTGTTTTTGTTGTTCTTGATCCTTTAGATGCATTGTTTATTTACTTGATACCTTTTCAATTTCTTGTTGTAGACACTAATTGCTATATACTTCTCTCTTAACAATGCTTTTGTGGCATCCTGTAAGTTTTGATACATTGTATAGTTATCTTTATTCATTTCCAGGATCTTTTTTATTTCCCTTTTGATTTCTTCTATGATCCGCTCTTCTTTTAGGTACTTGTTGTTCAGTGTCTGTGTGTTTCCATATTAATTTGTTAATTTGTAGCTGCATTGCACTGTGGTTAGAAATCATACATGGTATGGTTTCAATTTTTTAAATTTCTTGAGATTTGCTTTATGGCCTAGCATATAGTCTATCCTAGAGAAAGTTTTGTACAGTAATGAAAAGAACATGTATTCTGCAGCTATGGTATGAAAGGCTTTGTAAATATCAATTATATCTATTTGGTGCATAATATAGATTAGTTCTGTTGTTTCTTTGTTGATTTTTGTCAAGTTGATCTGTGCATTGATGAAAGTGGTGCATTGAAGCCCCCCCCATTATTATTGTATTTGAATCCATTTCTCACTTTATATCTATTAGCATTTGTTTTAAATAGCCAGGTTCCCTGGAACTGGGTGCATATACATTTACTATAGTCATCTCTTTCTGATGAATTGATCACTTATTCATTACATTATGTCTTTCTCTGTATCTTTTAAAAATTTGTGTGTTAAAGTATACTTTGCCTGATATAAGGAAGGCTACCCCTGCTCTTTTTTGCTTTTTGTTAGCATGGAATATCATTTTCCATACTTTCATTTCAGTCTCTGTGTATCTTTGTTGGTGAGCTGTGTTTCTTGCAGGCATCAGATAGATGGATCTTACCTTTTTCTCATCAGAAACCCTAAAATAGGAAAGAATGGAGAGATTTAGTACAATTCACAACGGTGAATTTCACAAAGTAAAATTTCACAAAGGTGAAAGACTATAAAACCAGAATACAGTAGCCTGCAAAGCTCTCATTTATAATTGATGGTGAAATAGACTATATAAAACCAACAGAACATGAATGAATGTGCCACCACTCATCCAGCCTTAGAAATGATACTTAAGGATGTGCAACACAGAGAAACACAGTGATATTTTATCAATACAAAAGTAGTTGTGAAATACTTTAAACCTACTAAAATTAATGTAGAACTGTGTATGTTTTAATCCACAAAGTATTCATAATGTTGATTGAGGAAAAAATAAGTGCTGAATAGTGCATAACTCTTAATAGCAGTTTGATTTGCACCAGAACTGAGGATGAGAGCAGGGATGGGAGCTCATCCTCTTCTTATTTTTGAGTTTCTGTCCTCGAAAAGTTTGTTAAGATTTTCAAAAATTAACAATGAAATCAAAGATCTCAGAAAAAAATGGCTCAAGGCACATAGGTCAGCTGTTTTGCTAATTCTGAAAGTGGACATGTGCCTCTGGACTGATGTACTCAGAACACATTGATCACTTGAAGTAAAAGTGTTCTTTGTTCAATCTGACCATCCCTCTACTCAGAGTCCTGTTCAGCTAGTGACATCTCAATCAGGATGAGATCATTCTTCCTCCTCACACAAGCAACAAAAGAAGATACAACACCATAACCTCAGCCTCCTTCATGAGGTGGGCAATGCCCTGGAACATGTTAATAAATTCACTCCCATATTCTTTAGAGTCCAGGTCTGGCCTGAGTGTCTAGCCCTCCAGTGAGTACTGGGATTCATGTTTGGAAGATAAGACCTGCTAGCAGGACTCTATAAATAGTGCCATTCATTCTTTTATTTTTATTTTTATTTTTATTTTATTTTTATTTTATTTTTATTATTCAGCAGTAAATTTTCAAGCAGATGATAGACAGGGGAACATATATTGACTAACAGCCAGAAGAAAGGACTGATAGTAAACATACAGGCTCCTACTATTATTGAAGCTGTGAGAACAGAGGAATGTCAAAAGCACCTTGATGCAATGGCAGCTCTCACCTAACTATCAAATGCACCCCTTCAATAACTGCAGCCTTTGTCACAGAGCCTGCTCCTAGCACTATATATACAAGTCTTGTCTTCACTCACAGCACACTCAGGATCCTGCTCTTCCTGCCTCCAGCTGACTCCTAGACATGAGGACCTTCACCCTCCTCACTGCCATTGTCCTGGTGGCACTCCAGGCCAAGGCTGAGCCTGTGCCACCCACAGATGATGTGGTTCCAGACCAGGAGCAGTCAGAGGCAGGGGACCAGGTCATGGTCATCTCCTTTGCAGGAGAGGAAATGTCTGCTCTTCAGGATCCACGTAAGAGACTCCAACATGGAAGACCTATGGAAACTAAAGAGGAAGGGTTGGAGGAAGGCTCTGGGATTCAGTCTTGGATAGTCTAGGTCACTTAGCTGAATTTACTTAGCTTCTCATAGCCTTGATTTTTCCAAACATGGTACTAAAACACAGTTAAACAGAGGTAATTTTTCCAGTATTCCACAGTACAGTGTAGCAACCTTAGATCATAATAAACTATTATATCCAATAATCTATTATATCCTAATAATGGAGGAGATGAGATTGTGGGTTCCACACATGAAGAAAATGTAGGAAGTTGGAGAAGCTGACTGCCTCTGTTATCAGAGTGCACTCTTGCCATTTGTTGAAACACTGTGCTATACCCCAAAAGGTGGAAATGTATTACATATTGATAAAAAACACTGGTTTTAGAAACTGAAAACACAGCTAAAGTGTTCATATGTGTTTAATGAGGTCAGGAGCACAAAGAAATGAAGACAAATGAGAATAAGTCACAAATACTTTTGTGACTACCATTGTTATGTAGGTTGCTTGTGTTGATAATGCTTGTTCATGCCAATGGCTGTAACGACACATGGCTCAACCCGGTTTGTAACTTTTTTGGTTTCTCTTTGATCCCAGTATTCATTGCCTGATACTCTCTTTTTACCCTAGATCAACTGAGGGGGTTGGTCTGCCATTGCAGAAGATCCTATTTTCCTCAAGAACACATCTATGGCACCTGCAATGAGAATGGTACCATGGACAGCTTGTGCTGCTTCCAAGATTCCAGAAAACAAAAATGATTTCATGATTACTTATAACCCTAGGAAAGTGCATGTATATTCTGTACCTTGTCTCAAATAAAATTCTTGCTACAAATCCTCTGTGTTGCTATCACATGGATGTTTTCTCATGTGTCTTACATCATACTAATATGGAAACACCACGATCTGAAGACAAATTATTTAAAAGGAAAAAAACTAGCTCCAAATTCTAGGAATTTCAAGGATGAACACATACTTCAGAAAAACTTCAAGTCATGATTTTGGTTTATCTGTGTACCTCCATTGTTGGTTAAATATACCTAAATTTAGACAAGATTCTCAATTTTAAATAAAAGTTTATCATGTGCTAAGCAGAGCATTAGTGTCAGCTTTTAGTTTATGGACAAACCATGAATAAATCCAAAGGAAGAGCATGCTCCTCACACTCACAGCACTGGTTTATTAGACAGAATCAAAGTATAAAATAATGTACATGAGTATATGCTTCCAGACACACAGATACTGTTCTTCCTCCACATGTGCACCATGGCAGTGTAAGTAGTGAGTGTGATGACAAGAATGAAACTGATACTGAAACAGCCATGAGCTTAGATGGTCTCAACAACAGATACCCAAGAAATGCTGAATGCTTAAATAACTGAAATGGTGCTAGGTTTCACCTAACAAGGCGCGTTTGGGGCTGGGGAGCTCAAACCACAGTCATGAGAGGATGGAATAGGGCTTGTACGTTTGAAAGGTTTGCCATATCAAAGTCTTTGAGAACCCAAAATGGAATAGCATTTATTTACAAAAGATGGCTGTTCCCTGCTTGCCAAATGAAATACAGTGGAACCACACTGTTGTATAGATTCCAAATTAATAGATTTCAATGCTAACAGAACAACATGAAAGTTACTTGTGAGCTTCACACAGTAAGTCAGAAATAGGTCTGATTTCAGAAATCCCACAGCAAGAAGCAGCACCATAAACACATCATTTTCAGCCATTAAAAGATGGACTTTTTTAAAAAAAATGTATTTTCCTTCTGAAATTTTTGGGCAGTGAAGCTAGCACTTGTTTGCTGAGCTGTGGAAGAATTGCAAGGTCACGCACATTATCCATGTTAAAGCAACAGAGCTGATGGGTCTGTGCTTGATTGAATAACCAGCAAGAGAGAGAAAGAAAGAGAGAGAATGAGCATGGGAGTTAACCACATTGCTGGTGCTCTCTCAAAGGAAGGGGGCTTAACAGATGAATTCACAAAGGTAGGCAGATTGCCACAGGACACTGAATGTCATGTGTAAATCTTCATGAATCTCCAGAAACAAGAACACCACACAATGTATATACTTTGATTTACACATTCCACTACAAAGGGAAAGAAAGACACCATTATAGCTTTGTAACTGTGTTAACTGCAATAAGAAACCAAACTCCAACAGGCTTCTTTGTACCTTTTGAATGTTTTTGTCCTTGTACATATTTAAAAGTATCTAACACTAAAAATAGATCAAGGCTCTTGGGAAATGGCTGGAGGCAATTGTGTCAATTGTTTTGCTATTTCTCAAGGTGGAGACGTGTATCTGGATCATAGTACAAGTGATGTGCACTGTCCTTTGGTCAATTTGACCATCTCTCTTCATAGAGTCCTACTGAGCTAGTGACACCCAAAGAACGATAAGATCATTTTTCTTCTTCACACTGGTCCTAAAAGAAGATATAACCCCAGAAACTCTAACTGCTTCATGAGGAGAGCAATACCCTCTCTCCTCCACTGGTGTCCAGGTCCAGCCTCCGTGGCTAGACTTCCAGGGAATTACAAGTTCCAAGTCTGGGAAAAAAATCATTGTTCCCTGAACTTGATGAATGAAACCATTTTTCTTTTGTTTTTATTATTAAACAGTAAATATGTAAGAAGATGCAAAATAGTGGAATAAACCAAGTTTGCTACTTTGATTAGGACTAAGAGTGGACACCCAAACTCCTGCTATGATGGGAGCTGTGAGAACAGAGCAACATCAAAGCACTTTGAGTGCAATGGCAGCACTCATTCCCTATCAAATGCATCCCCTTCTCTAACCACAGCCTCTGTCTCTGAGCCTCTTCCTAGGTCTATATATACAGGCTGACTCTTTACCCCCACATTGGTTCCTGGTTTCACCCTGTCCAAGAACTGGCTGTTGTGGTCATTAGTGGAGTGAACTAGCCATTAAAAGATCTCACTTTGCAGCCAGAGCTGACACAGTGTGTTAAGCCAACATCCCCAGTGCTGGCATTCCACATGGGTGATGGTTCCCATCCCAGTTGCTCCATTTCCGACACAGCTCCCTCCTAATGTATCTGGAAAACAGTGGAGGATGGCCCAAGTCCTTGGGCCCCTGCACCCACGTAGGAGACCTGGCTCCTGACTTTGCCCTGACTCCAGTGAGGCTGTTGCTGTCGTTTGTGAAGTGAACCAGCAGATGGGATGATCTCTCTCTCTCTATCTCTCTTTCTTTTACCCTCCTTCTCTCTGTAATTCTGCTGTTCAAATAAATAAATAACTCCTTAAAAATAAAAAAAAACTCACTTTTTCTCTCCTGGATCCAAATAAAGCAGACAGCTAGATCCAAGTAAAACAGATAGTCAGCATGACCACATGACAGCTCCATGGCACCATGACAGCACCTAATCTGACCTGGCCAAATAGAGTTCTCCCATTTTGAGTTCCACAGGTTAACAGGTTTGTAGGAAAAGCCTTGTTGTTATAAGAGGTTGGGGTGGGTTGGTCTGTTATGCTATGTAGAAATGAGTAATTCCTATTTGCTTCCCTACCTGCGTAGGGTGTGATATACTTTGAGGCAAGGAGTGCTGACCAAACTCAGCTATGGTATAATGTGTATTGGATTTGCAGTGGTGGCTGCTTCTTTCTCAGGATGGGATCTGGCATTAAGCTCTCCTAAGTGAAGACCTGATGCCTGTTATGTATTGAAATGCACTGTGGGAGCTTCTCTGGCCCAAAGCAGGACCATAGTGAATGTCTGAGGCTGGGCATGCAGGCATTCAAACCAGGCAGCACCACCTACCTCTGCTAGGAGTGTGTTGGTCAGGTTTGTTTCAGCATAACAAAACACCCCAGGGAAGCTACTTGTGCAGCCAAGAGGTTTTTTGAGTGTCAGTCTTGAAAGTTCAAGATCATAGCAAATGCACTGTCTCAGTAATGGTGAAAGAAACACAGACAATGGCAGAGAAACATGGTGGGAGGTCATGTCAGAACCAGCAGTCACATTTCAAAGAGGGAACAGAGATAGATTTAAAATCTAAAATTCATTCTAGGTATACAGTCCAATGATTTAATATCTCCCCATAAGGCCACGATTGGAATGTAGCTTTTAATCATAGTGGACAGTGAGAGTTCACCAGCAAAGCACATGGACCATAGCTGAGAGCAGGTTTTCAGAGGTGTGTGTTGTTTGCTGGTAATTGATCAAATATCACTTCCAGCAGGTACAAAAACCTTCTACCAAATCTGAATGCTGGTCTCAGTATCCACAGCCATGCTTTGTTTCTAGCAGAACAACATGATATAGACAAACAGACCCCTTGCGGATCTCTGTTCCCCATGAGCTGAGAATGGATTTGGCTTCCAGGGCAGTATTTAAGAAACCTGAGGAAGCAGGATGTCCATATCACTACAGAAATGGGCACACTGGGAATCCTTCTCTGTTTGGCTTGGGGTAGGGGAGGAATGACACAGTCAAAGAGAGACCATTTCTCCTAAGCTTTCAATGAGGATATTTATTCATTTCCATGAGACACACAAGTGATTCAAGATTATTGTCACATTTTGGAGCTTTCAACAAGGCATTTTTCTCTGTAGATAGATGTCAGATGATCATTCTAATGTGGTAAGTGAAACCAGGGACTTCCTATACTACCAACTTTCTAAAATAATCTTTAATCTTTTTTATAAAGATTTATTTTTTATTTATTTGAAGGCAGAGTTAAAAGGGAGAAACAGAGGTTTTCCATATGCTGGTTCACTCCCCAAATGGCCACAATGGCTGGAGTTGTGCCAGGTCAAAACCAGGAGTCAGGAGCTTCATCTGGGTCTCCCTTGTGAGTGCCAAGAACTGGATCACAATTGCAGCAGACAGGTCTTGAACCAGCGCCCATGTGGGATGCCAGCATTGCAGGTTGAGGCCTAACCTACTACACTACAGTACTGGTCCCACATAGTCTTTAATCTTCATTGCTTCACAGCACCCTGTGAGCTCAAGAAGGGAAGGATCTGCCTCTGAAAGAAATGCAGGTGAATTTTGTCTACTTGAATGGACAAGAAATTACAAACTGAAAGACGAAAGATGGAATTATGAATATAGCTAGAAATCTAGATGAAAAGATAGAGCAAAAGAGAGAGCATGTTGTGTCTGAGTCAGCATTATTTTGATGTGCTCACTTACAGGCATCGATGTTGTCATTGAGTGTCTAGCAATATTTTTTGAAAATGTGTTCAAATTAGTACCAACTAATACACACATGAAACATGGCAAAAACAGACAGAGAAGGCTCAGTATACAGACTTTACTTGGGATTAGGAAAAGACATGAGGGAGAAGCAGAAGAGGGAACACTGCTTTGTACCTTGCCTGCACATTTAATCTTGAAATATTTTGCATCCAGGTTCCTTTTGCCAAGTGACAGCAAGGCCTATATGGAGCTTCCCTGAGAGAGTCGGTCCCAGAGGGAAGCTCTTGAGGCTGTTGGCATCTTTGCATAGCAGAGCAGGCTCATTGTGTCTGGAGGAAGAGGCAGCCTAGGGCACAGCAGATAGGAAAGTGAGCATGGTGGAAGAAGCAGGAATATTGGAGAAGTTATATTTTGATTCAGAGGAGCCATGTACATAGATCAAATTAGCCAAGTACATAGATCAAATCTAATCAAATTAGATTGACAGTAATATTCCTTTTCAACAGAACGCAGACAATGGGGCTCAATCCCTGCCAGTGAGGAATGGGGCCCTCACAGCCTTACCTGTCTTGACTTCATGCCACAGGACATTTGTCCTCCTCACCATATTCCTATACACATTCACTTATTCTTATCATTTTTAAACTTTTTATGTTAATTT